TCTGACACTCATCGGATTCAGTTCAGTTCAGTATTTATTTAATTCCATAGTAAAAAAAAACAAAAACGGTGACATCAAAATATTACTTTTACATAAATATGATTAACATAGTACAATATTGACAGTAAAAACAAACAAATAGGAATTAGGTTGCTGTATAAAAACCCTAGAGGGTTTGTCTGGACAGCCACCTGAAAAAAAACAGTATAGGAATCATACAAATGATATATGGTATTTGAATAAACAATAACAAAAAATAACAAAACAAAACAAATCAAAGTAGAACATAAGCAAAAACAAAAACATACATGTAGACCGCACAACCCTAAACAAATTTGCATTGTGGAGTAATTGAGTGTTTTTATGATGTAAGATTATTAGAAATAAGATATAATTTAAGCTTTCTTTTAAATGAGTTCAGGCTATTAATAGAAGTAATGTCTGACGGTAAGGAATTCCATACAGAAGGAGCTTTGTGTCTAAAAGAGTGTAATTCATATTGTTTTGTAATAGCAGATAAATAATAATTCATTTTGTTTCGAGTATTATAATTATGAACTGAACAGTTTAAAGTTAACATAATGCATAAACTATTGGGTAATAAACCAAGCTTGTGTTTAAAAAGTAGTATTGCATTAAAATAATTATTTAATTTATAAATGTTCAGTATGCTTAACTTTATGAATAAGGGTTTAGTATGTGCCAAGTATGAAGATGATGAGGCAATTCTAACAAATCTCTTTTGTAATATAAAAATGGCTTCCAATTTGGAAGAATATGTATTAGCCCATACAACATTAGAGTATGATAAGTAGGGCAGGACTAAAGTATTATACAATGTTATAAGAATGCATTTTGGTAGGATATGGCATAATTTGCTGATGACACCGATATTCTGTGATAACTTCTTTCTGACATAAGAGATGTGAGTCTTCCATGATAAATCATGATCAATGTAAACACCCAGACATTTTGTACAATATACACGTTCAATTGATGAATTATTGAGTTTCACAACTAAGTTTTGCAAAGTACTATACTTTTGTTTCTGTTTCACAGTATAAAATAACATATAATTTGATTTATCTATATTTAATGTAAGTTTATTGGCATTAAACCATTTAGAGACCTTTAGTAGCTCGTTATTTAAATTAGTTGACAATGATAAATGATCATCTGTTGAGTATAAGATATTGGTGTCATCAGCAAACAATATAAATTTTAATATTTTAGAACAATTTGGGAGGTCGTTGATAAACAATAGAAATAACAAAGGACCTAGGATCGATCCTTGAGGAACACCAAATGAAATATTAGAAGAATCTGAAATGACATTGTTGTAAGACACAACTTGAGTTCGATTATGTAAATAACTTTTAAACCATGAATAAGGTAGTCCTCTAATACCGTAATAACTTAATTTATGTAACAATATTGAGTAATCAATTGAATCGAATGCCTTACTCAGGTCGAGAAAAACACCAACTGTATATAATTTATTTGCAAAAGAATTAACAACATAATCATGTAAGTCAATAAGTGTCATTTTATTAGAAACATTTTTCATAAAACCATATTGAAATTCATTTGATATAGTATTTTTATACAAAAGATCAAAATCCTATTATAAGCCAGCCTTTCTAATATCTTAGAAAAGACGGGAAGAACAGATATTGGTCTATAATTTGAAATATCATGGATATCTTTTTTTTGTAGACAGGTGTAACTTTTGCTGTTTTTAATTTCAAGGGTACTATTCCAGATGAGAATGATAGGTTGTAAATAAAGCATAAAGGCTTCACAATACCATAAAACATTTTTTTCACAACAAGGGGACTAATGTCATCAATGCCACTACTACTTGATGAGTTCATATTTTTAGTAATTTCCAATATTTCAGTTTCTTTAACAGGTTTTAAAAATATGGTGTTGTTACATCTTCCAGATAAAAAATCAACAAAGTTATCATCTAGTTGTATAGAATTAGCCATAGAGGCTCCTATATTTACAAAATATGTATTAAAGTTATTAGCAATATCCTTTTCATCATGTACATCTATTCCATTTATAGTAACATATGATGGTAAATTCTTCTTATATTTTCCAAGTAATTCATATCTATAAACATATTATAAACTTGATCAGTATCTGTACAGTTAAATACATCACTCCAATCAACATTATACACCTTTTCTTCAAAAGCTCTAATAGTACTTTCATTTATACGACGAAATTTACGAGTAGGAGTACATTGTGCATGAAATTTAAAGTGGGTTATTTGAAAAACTGGGAAATGATCTGTAATATCATTGTAAAATAAGCCAGAAAGCACATTTGATCCATAGTTATTAGTAAGATTATTATCAATTAAAGATGAGGATGTCTCTGTAACACGCGTTGGCTTATCAATTAAGGGCACAAAGCTATTCAAATGTATTGCACTCAAAAATTCATTCACAGAAGCATTATCATGATTCAGTAGATTAATATTAAGATTTCCCATTATATATACATGTTTATGTTCAATATTCAATTTTTCTAAACAAGACTGAAGGTGTTTATTAAAATCCATAACTTTTGATTGAGGTTTTCTATAAATAACACCGACAATAATATTTTTCCCTCTAGGAATAACAATTTCTATAAATAAAGACTCATAATATTCAGAACATTCTAAGATATCACGTCTAATAACAAAATCCAGAAGATCAGATATTAACAAACCCACACCACCTCCTCTAGCATGTTTGCGATCATTATGTATAAACGAATATCCAGGTAGGTTAAAAGTATGTGGTGTGTTTTCATGGATCCAAGTCTCTGAAAAGCCATAGATGGAGAAATCGAAATTAAGAGAAAATATAAAATCGGATATTGCATCAAAGTTTTTAGACAAGCTTCGAGAATTGAAGTGAATAATACTAAAATTTTCTTTGAATTCAAGTGCTTTTGTTAAGAAATCATCATCTAAATAATATTTACAGTCCAAGACATCAAGATTATGATCCATGTCATCAGAGTAAACATCTTCAATGTTTTGGAGATTATTTAAAAGTTGGTATGGGTAAGTATTGACATTCCTTTTAAAAAGATGTTCAAATGCGATATCATCAGTATTATTAAAGGCAAATATGTTATGAAAACAAGATGGAAAAGGACAATTGCAGAGATCCTTTTCTACAGAGGTACATACTTCAAGACATTTTGATTTTTTGTAAAAGCTATCAGATTGAGAACAACATATGTGGCAAGATAGAGTTTTAGGTTCCACTACACAATTACATATAACACAGAGCATACCTAAGTTATTAGGATTCAGCACCCTCAAATTGACAAGAAAACATAAAATAACCTGTTAAATGGCCAAACATTTGCAAAGAATAAGCCTTTTCATGATTTGGCGGCCATTTTGGCGACCATTTTGAATTTTCGCCATTTACGAGAAATGCATAATGTTTCGCATCTGGCACTCATCGGATTTGGATTCAGAACCCTCAAATTGACAAGAAAAAATAAAATAACCTGTTAAATGGCCAATTGAAAGAATAAGCGTTTTCATAATTTGGCGGTCATTTTGGCGGCCATTTTGAATTTTCGCCGTTTACGAGAAATGCTCAAGGTTTCGCGTCTGGCACTCATCAGATTTGGAATCAGCACCCTCGATTTGACAAGAAACCATCAAAAAACATTGTTTATATAACAAAACAAGGTTCCTTGCTCTCTAGCCTGGACTAAGACCCTTGTAACGTGTAGGACCGTGTATCTCAGATTTAACATTGTTAAACGATCCATTTAATTTGAATGCTAGTTAAGCAGTTTCTAAATTAAATGACAGTAATATGAAACCCTTCGACCAACATTTTAAATTGAATACCAAAACGGGAAAAGTGAATGATAAATGGCATGGCAATATGAGGCGCCGTTTGTAAAACAATTATATAGACAAATGATATGTTATATAATCATTATTTAACAAATAATAACCATTATTTACATATAATGCAAGAAAATGTACGTTTTTATTTGTATCTAATTCTTAACACATTTGTATTATTTATAAATAATAACAAAGAACTTTGCATTATTTATATATAATTGCCATTATTTATAAATAATTACAATTCACACTTTCATTATTTATATATAATGAAAAGCATATTTCCATTATATAATATATAATGAAAAGCACATTTACATTATATAATATATAATGAAAAGCCATTTCCATTATATAATATATAATTTAAAGCATATTTCCATTATATAATATATAATGAAAAGCACATTTACATTATATAATATATAATGAAAAGCCATTTCCATTATATAATATATAATTTAAAGCGTATTTCCATTATATAATACATAATGGAACGCACATTTCCATTATATAATATATAATGAAAAGCCTATTTCCATTATATAATATATAATGAAGGGCACATTTCCATTATATAATATATAATGAAAAGCACATTTCCATTATATAATATAAAATGAAAAGCGTATTTCCATTATATAATATATAATGAAAAGCACATTCCATTTATAATATATAATGAAAAGCGCATTTCCATTATATAATATATAATGAACAGCGCATTTCCATTATATACTATATAATGAAAAGCGCATTTCCATTATATATTAAATAACGATTGTGTATGCAAATGTCAATGGTTGGTAACGCCCATAATATGCATATTCATGAGCTTGACTGATATTATTATCCTCTATTCCAGGCACCTTTCCATTTTGTGTTCTTTGTGCATTCTTATCAGAAATCCTACGTGCGGTAAATAAGTCTCTGTATCACCATTCTCCTTCTTATTTGTATGCACATTTGGTTATAATGATTGATAACTGTAATCATCCTCATTGTTTTAATAAGAAATGTTTCTATCTGTGATGGAAGTTTTTGTGTACGATTGCCTGATCTGAAGACAAGACTTTTGCTGCATGCATATTTAATGACGTCACTCAAACAGAGTGAGAGCTACAGGTTTTCTTTGAAAGTTTGATGGTGAGTACAGCTGTAATTACGTTCAAATCTCGTAAATTGAATCATATGTATAAACATATCTGCTGTAGGTATGAATCTGTTGATTTGTCTGTACATTGTGAAGTGGTTTAAAATGGTTATATCTGATGAATTTAGGTGTAATCTACACTCGAACTTTTGATTCGTTATTTATCGTCGTGAGAAATATTTCAGCTCGATTGCCATCGTCACTCCTTGATCCTTGGCCCAAACTTTCGGGCGAGACCCTCTCTGAAAATTAGATAAGAGTATAGGGTCTATAGGCAGATCACTTCACTAGCGCTAGCTGCATCAATGATCCAAGCTTTTTGTTGCTTTTAGGTCCAACTGTTGAAAAACTACTTTCATAGTTGGGTCAGAAGAAAGTTAATAGCTAACACTAAAAAGCATGGTCACAGTTGACATGAGTTGTGAACAAGCGCCAAAATTTGGACCAGATACCGAGATAGACGAGTACGAGAGTTGAAAATTTGAGGCCTAGGCCTACAGACCAGTAAATAATTGGACTACCTGTGAACAGGCGCGGATCCAGGATTTCTTGGGGGGGGGAGGGGGGAGGGCCCAAATTTGAAATTATGCAAGCCAAATATTGGTACGTAATAGTGACACCGGCAGTGGCGAAATGAGCAAAAACCGGGAGGGGGGGGGGGGGTAGACAAAAAAAAATATGCACCACCCCACTCTTACATGCAGGTTCCGCTAAACGTTTCTCTAAGTAGGTGGGGGGGGGGGTATTTACGATCAAGTAGAGCGTTGTGAAATTGGCGTGGTGTCTAAGGGCGAAGAACCTGCGGGGGTCAAGGGGTGGAACCCCCAGAAGCTCAGAGGTATAGGCATTTAATTGCGGTCAGATGAGCATATAAGCATACTTTATTTGTGACACTGTGAAGACACTAATTGGCGTTACTATTCTTTCTTTCTTTACGAATTTGCCATTTTCCCACAAACGCATTTAAAAGTATAATTTATTAAACATTGAGGAAAAATCTCGGAAATTATGTCATTTCAGCAACATTTGTAAATCACCGGTAATCACCGGTATCGAATTAGAAATAAACCATGTTTGAATTATATTGGGGGGGGGGGGGGCATCTGTCACCCCCCCCCCCCCCAAGTCCCCTTCCCCATCAGTACGCCAGTGCCCCTCCCCCCGATCTACACGTAACTGATCTCCCCTACCTTTCTTCTTTCTCCTTTTTCTTTCCCTTTCTCTCCTATTTCCCTTTCCGTTCCCTTCCTACTCTCTGTTTTAGGTTTGCTAGGGGGAGGCAAGGGCCTTTTGGCCCCCCTCCCAGATCCACACATTGTTGGCGGTTTAATCGCAACTGTTCTCCCCTTCTTATAACCCTTTTCTTTTCTTCTTTCTCTTTTTTGTTCCCTTTTAGCACTCCTCTATCCCTTTCCCTTCCTTCTCCCTTTTTTTTTGGGGGGGGGGAGGGAGGAGGAGGCAAGGGCCTTTGCCCCCCCCCCGAACTACAACTTGTTGGGAGGAAAATTGCAACTGATTTCCCCCTTCTTTTCTTCTTCCTCTTTTTTCCTTCTCTTTATCCCCTCTTTGCTTGTTTTCTTTCCCTTTCCTTCCTTCTCTTTTATTTTTTGATAGGGGGAGGGGGAGAGGTTACAGCTGGGAGGCAAGGCTCTTTCGGCCCCCCGATCTCCTTCTTTTCCCCCTTTTCTTTTCCTCTTCCTCTTCTTTCTTTCCCTTTCTCTCCTTTTTCCCTTCTTTTTCTTCTCTCTCTCTCTCTCTCTTTTTTATTTTTTGCGGGTGGGGGGGGGGGGGGCGGCCCCCCTGGATCCGTGCCTGCCTGTGAATGTGATACTCGTAGTCGTACAGAGTCTCATAGCTGTCTAACAAATTAAAACACGATCCCCCCAAATTAGACTACACTGTATACATAACAGGGTTACATAATTGTAGTGGTGCCTGTGTGTTCTTAAACTCTTTGTTGGCTTAGCCTAATTTGCCTCTGCTCTAGGCTCTATCTTTGAATTTTTGTTTGCTGTAAACACGATTAAGTTTTCTCTGTCATATATAGATCTAGGTCCATATCTATTTTGCGTTTTTTTTCAATTTGATAGAATGGACAGTTACGAGACATGCATCTAGATCATCTAGAGACTGTAGATCAACTAGATCTGGATCAAGGAATTGAATATAAATTTCAATGTTAGATAATGAAGGAGGGCTTTTTTGGTAAAGAGAAAATCCAAAAGAGAACAGTTAATTCTGCAATTGCTCATCAATGTTTTAATGATCATGCTCATTTCCTTTTATTCTAAGAATTAAATCCCCCTCTCTTTTACAGGAAAATGTACAGAGACTTGTCGCAGTTAATGCAGTACCAAATGCTTGGTTTCTTGGAGTATGTGCTTGAAACAAGAATGTCCTGGAGAAAACAGACCACCACAAGAGAAGGTAAACATATTTACTTTTGATCTAACTTGATCTGTTTAGTTTTTTCAAGTAAAACAAAATTTTGAATAGGTGAGGTCAAGGTCAAACTGAAGGGGATGCAAAGGGCTGGTTTGAGAAGTATGTATTCATGGGATGGCTATGTATGAATCCACATGTCTACTAACACGTTGCTGAACTGTTTCTCTTTTTAGAATTAACATTTTAAAGCTCATGTGCAGGGGGAAAAAAAAAGGAGGGGTCCAATACATGACAAGGAACGACAAGCAAAAAAAAAAATATAACAATTGACCTTCAAATTTTGCTGAAAAAGTAAACGTTAAAGACAACTAAAATATTAAATAGTGCTATTTACTTCAAATTTGGTTAATATTTATTGAATTGTTTATAATTCTGTTCCAGGGATTGAGAAGGAGGGCTTCCTGTTGACAGATAAGGGGGTGCCTTGAGGTTCCACTCTTGATGTTCTGCCCCTTACCTGAAAGCGATGGCCTCTTGTGCCTGACATATTAGGAGCAAAGCACAATGGACTGGTAATTAATAATGTATATTACAATGTTGTTGTTTTTTAAATCTGGTAAAGAAACAGATAAAGTCATAGCAAGTGAGCCTGTCATGGCACCCGATACCAATACAGTAACAGTAAAGTATCGAAGGAGATTACCCAAAGTTGCTCAGTAATATCAGAGCAGAATATGTAATCTGAAACCCAGGTGACAAGGTTGCTATGGTAATGTACTGGAACTATTGTCACCTAGGTTAGATTTATAGAACAGTAGTGAACTGTAGGATTGAGTAATTTGTGCGCCCTGATAGTACACAGGTCTGAATAGTTTTTTTTACTCCAGACTTTACCTATTTTTAATCGCATGGGCAATAAAAATATAAATGATATAAAATAAAACGCGTGCATGCTCCTCTGTGTAGGTTGTTCATGTTGTTTAATGTTCACTTATTAATTTAGATTTTGTTGGCACTGACATAACATTTTTTAATTCACTTTTTAAAATATTTTTAGGGGGTAGGGGTAATGCTTCATGCATGCATAAACAACGAGTTAAGCAAGATCATAGCTTTAAAAGAACCTAGCGGTAAAGAGTACCAATTAATCACCAAAACAAAGGTTGTAGTGAAGTTAGGAGTTTCATTTGATTATAGGCCGATTGTATAACATTTTAAAAGAGCTATAGATTGATATTATCCCTATTTATAGACCCTCGATTAACATAAAATCGTCTTGTGAGTAGACTATTACCTCTTACTTTAATGTTATCCAGATTACGGTTGCCACAGTAACGCACTGTTCCTCTTTATCACCTGAGTATTATAGTGTCTCTCCTTCTTTCCTCGTCCCCTTCTATTGTCTCAATCCCTCATCCCCATTCTCCTTTGATTTTCCCCTGCCCCCCCCCCGCCCCCAATGCACCCCTTCAGCCATTTCCCTCTCTTCGCCGTAAACCCAATTATCTTTCCCCCATCCTCTCTAAACTCGTTCTTCCGCCGGGTTGCTTGCTCATCTCTCCCCTCCCCTTCTCCCCTTGCCTTACCGCTTCCCCTCTCTAGCTCTCTGTTTACCACTCTCTCCTTCTTTCTTCTCTCCCCTTTCACTCTCTCCTTCCTCATTCACCTCCAACTTTCGTCTTCTACCTTCTTTTTCACCGCCTTTAATTCGCTCTTATCCGTTAATCCCAGTTTATCCAATCCTTTCCCATAGTTCATTCACTCCCTTTTCCCAAACCTTCATCAACTCATTCTCCGGTCGGCCTGCTTATTCCGCCACCCGCCCCCTCCCCCTCCTCAATCTTCCTTCCCTCCATCCCGCACGCGCTCTTTCTCCCTCTCTCTTTCCCTTCACTATCCTGCGCTAGCTCTTCTTATTTCCCCTCATTTCCTAAACGCTCCACGGAGTATACGCCCTTATTCCCTTACCCGGCCGGCCGCCCTCTTAAATCCAAAAAATGCCCCCTTTCGCCTTCTCCCCACCTACGCTCCCTTTTCACCGCGTCTCATTAATGTTGGTCCCTCTCTCGATCCCCCTTTCTCCCTGCTCCCCCTCTCCAGGCGCGGATCCAGGATTTCCTAGGGGTGGGGGCCCATTTTTTTTTTTTTTTTGCTCCCGGAAATTTGAAAATCGCGCCAGCCGAAAATGCGCTCAGTTGGGGGGGGGGGGGGGCGACTTACTTCAGACACTGTCATCTGGCCTCCGAGCTTTAGACAGCAAGGTCCTTGTCTACCATATCATTGTGAGCTTCTCATTCTACCCTTCATTTGCATGAAATACATTACATGTACAGGCACCTGTTTGTATAGAAACATAAAATAAATTCACTTTTATGGCATGTTCATGAAAGCAATGTACAGTACTAATTATAAAGTGAACAGCAGGGTAGGGTTCTTGCAGAATTTCTAGAACTCGCAGTAAGGGTGTAATAAATATAAACTTTGAACAATACTGGTATGTAGAAAGGGATTTAGGGTAGCCCGAAATTTGGTCTGGCAATGTTTAATACATTTAGGGTTGACATTATTACCCCATTCACAGTGGCCTCAAACACCGCGACAGCAGCGGGACTGTCCCGCTGCTGTCGCGGTGTTGTCTTCAGTGTGAAGGCTCGGACCCGTTATAAACTATCGCGGGATAACACCGCCTCGCGATAACGCCGCGACAAACTATCGCTAGGTTCGCCTAGCTACAGCAGCGGGACAGTCCCGCTGCTGTCGCGGTGTTTACTCAGTGTGAAGGCTCTCCGCTATAACACCGCGACAAACACGTGTGATTTGTTTACTTACCTATCACTGACCTCTTTTCTCCAGCAATGGGGAACATAAAGTGAAATAGAAATAAAGTAACCAGTGGATTCAAATTGATTTTATTATTATGTAGATATTATAATTATCCAAATAAAAATATTTCACACTTCAAAAAATTAAAATATTCTGACTGGAAGCAATAAAAATGCTAGTTTTTTAAAAAGTAATATGATCGAGGATACAAAAAGCAACTTGACATGTTTACCTTTTGCAAGCTTGCCTCAATCGAAAACCCCGCGCTGAAGTATTTCTGGTCATATCGGGGTCACTCGCGGGTCATGAGCCATGCATACACGTGTTTGTTACGGAGGTAATAAAAATCACCCGCTGCAGCGTGAATGGGTACATGATATTTATCCCGCTGCTGCAGCGGGATAACTTTTCTACTGTGAATGCATTTGTAGCGGTGTTATGGCGGTGTCGCCGCTCCGCTACAACGCCGCTACAAATTTCAAAACCACTGTGAATGGGGTATATGTTTAGCAATGGATCCAGGATTAAAGTTAAGAATTCATTTTGTGTTACAACATAACCAGTACATAAATGCCAATAGAGCACGTTGTGAAAATCGCTGAACTCTTTTAATTGGTAATACAGTGCTACATGTTTCACAAACTGCAGGCCAGTGTGTTTTTACTTTATAAAATCTATTGTAAATGATACTGTGTTATATACTTTTTCCCCTTCCACTCTACATCATGTTTCTGCTTTCACAATACAGAGGAATATTTTAAAACTACCATTGATGAGTAAAAGATACATGCAGCTCCACCAGCACCTGGAAAATCCAGTTGTACAACACCTTCTCCTGAGACAATTGCTTCACATAATTTTCTACACTATTAAACTTCATCCCTAGGCCTAACCCTAAACCTAAACGACCTTAATCACAATTCCAACCCCTCAGTCTAACCCTACACCTTTGACAAAATAAAGCCTAGAGTAGTCGTTGCAGGAGCAAATGTTGAGTTACTAAAAATGCCATGACAGACTCATATCCTATGAATTTATCTCTGTTTCTTTCCCTGATTTGTTAAAAAAAAACATTGTAATATGCATCATGAATTACCAGTCCATTGTGCTTCGCTCATATATTGCCAGGCACAAGAGGCCATCGCTTTGAGGTAAGGGGCAGAACATCAAGACTGAAGGTGGAACCTCAAGGCACTCCATGATCTCTCAACAGCAAGCCCTTCCTCTCCATCCCTGGAACCGAATTATAAAAATATTCAATAAATATTAACCAAATATGTAAGAATACACAAAAATTGCATTATTTTTTTTTCTTCAATTGTCTTCAATGTTTACTTTCTTTTTCAGCAAAATATGAAGGTCAATTATTTTCTTTTTGCTTGTCATTCTGTTTCGTGTATAGGAGTTCCCCCCCCCCCCATCCCTTCTTCAAGGCCTTCAAATGTTAATTATAAAAATATATACATTGGAAGTTAAAATACACTTTAAATAAACACTACAGCAACTTGTTAGTAGACATCTTGTTGCACACATACCATGTAGCCACCCCTGAATCGATACTTCTCAAACCAGCCCTTTGCACACCCCTCCAACTTGGCCTTATGTAATGCCCTCACACATTTAAAAATTTCCTTTTACTTGACAAACTAAACAGGTCCAGTTTTAAAAAGTCCAAGTTAAACAAAATAAAAAAATAAAAAAAATTACCTTTTCTTGTTGTGGTCTGTTTTCTCCAGGACATTCTTGTTTCAGGCACATACTCAAAGAAGCAAGCATATGGTAATACACTCTGTATATTTCCTGTAAAAGAGAGGGGGAAAATTTTATTCTTAAAATAGCTAGGCTCACATTCAGACTCAGTGACTGAAAACAACAGTCACTGCTACAATGTTTGCAGTCTAAAGACTGAGAGCAGAGACAGAGTCTTGACGTAAACTAAGAGACATAGAGTCAAGACTGCGCCAAAAAAAGATCAATACTCTAGAGTAAATTTAGAAACCACTAGCATGACTAGGCACTAGACTACACTACACTGCAGAGTGCAGTATACTTCTTCTCCTTCTTGAAGATAATCTGCCTCCTATCCTTCAATACCGGTACTGAAGATTCTTGCAGATGCCGTATATACATGTATATATATATATATATATATATTCGGCCTGATTGGGGTTTGCAGGTAGACCACTACACCAGGTTTTTCCCCTATTCTTATACGAATAGTGCCGTGGGTTGTTAACGTGCAAGGGTAGTGACTATCCTGTACACGGGGTCTCCTTTTAACATCCTATCCGAGAGACGGATTGTTTTCCATGTAACATAGCCTGCGTCTATGAAACAACAAGGGGAGGGGCACGTTAACACACAACGCTTGCTTCAGTCATCCGCCTGGGTGAGATTCGAACCCAAGATCTTTGGGCCGACAGGCAGACGCTTTACCGACTGAGCCAATTCGCCTCCTAGTCCTCCTACTGTCTACCGACTAGACTCTAGATTATTTACATTTCTATTTTAATTCTAACTTAACTAAAGTCTAGTGAAATCTTTACTCCAGGGAGCTCCGTCACCGAAGCCCTTCGGAGGCCGTAGGCTCTGAAGCATGTACATGTAAAGCATGGTGTTAGTGAAATCTAAACACTGTTTGGGGGTTCGCAGTTTATTGCAGGAGTTGTTGTTTTAGCTGCTTACAGCTTAGCCTGCCCTTGAAATAAAAATGAAATTTTTCAATTCTAAATTTATTAAATCCGACAGC